TAAATGATGAGAACTTATGAACACAAAGAAGGAAACAACAGACACTTAGAGTCTACTTGATGGGGAAGGGTGGGAGGAGGGAGAGGAAGAGAAAAGATAAATTATTGGGTACTGGCCTTAATACCAGGGTGATGAAATAATCTGTACAAGAAACCCAACTGACATGAGTTTAGCTATGTAACAAAGCCTTCAAATGTACCCCCACACCTAAAAGTTAAAAAAAAAAGAGCACTACCAAGTAGCACTTGTTAACTATTTTATATTCTATTAGATGGGTACATTATCTTGGTTTGATCTTTGAAAATTGCCTAAGTAGTACACATAAATTATTTAAATGTGATGTAGATTACATTACAATATCTGAAAGGATATTAAAGTATTTGTAATTCTAGAAAATTTTTGAAAGATTGCTATATAGACATGTTAATGATATGGTTTATGATTTTCCATTGATATTGAGGAAGCAGTCGAGAAATATGACTTTTCTCGCTGTCATCTCAGTGCTACTATATAAAATAGGAATAATGATGGTACCTGCCTCGTAAGGTTGTTGTGAAGATAAATGGCAATAAATGTTAGCTACAACTATTACTGGAACATTCAACCATTTTGGACCATATAACCTGTTGCTATTCAATCAGACCGAAGTCCTTAAAATACCATCTCAAAATTTATATTGTTCAGAGGCAAGGAATGAATCTATATTAAGAATGTTAAAGATTTTTATCATGAAGATAAGTCAACGTTACAGTCAACACTTTATTTTATCAAAATAATTATCCAAGCTAATAATGCATATCTGTGAAGTGTAATGAATTTCAATCCACTCGCATCAAGCTGAATAAAGGTTATAATAAACAAAGCAATCAGTGTGACTTCTGAGAGAGACATTTATCAAACCCTTGGACCAACACAGCCAACAGTTTAGCCCAGGGACATCTGTACTCTATGAATCTTTTTTGGATGGTAGATAGCTCCTGCCAGGAACAGAACAAACTGTTTTTTTAAATGTGATCCCCTCCTTCCTATTTCCTAGTCAGGGAAGAGTAATTGCCATAGATTTGTTCCAAAAAAGTGAGATTAAGTGAACAGTTTGATTGTATTTAAACTTGGCAAAAAAAAAAAAAAAAAAAAAAAAAAAAGGAAAAGAAGGAGCAATGAATGCAAAAATAATTCAGTTGGGATTGATCTGGAATGGAATTTTACAAATGGTTTATGCACCCTAACTGGGCAAAGTATACCTTCAATTTCTCAGGGAAGAAATTCATTACTTGCATTTTATGGATGAGTAGCTCCGAGTTTCTAAAAGGGAGAAATGTTGGTATTTTGGGTGGAAGAATTATTCATTACGAGGGGCTGTCCAATGCCCAGTGTATTCCATTTATTTATTATCTGTCTCCTGGAGTACTAAATGCTGGTGATTCCCCCAGACAATCTCCCTTCTCCCCACTCCCAGATTTGCAAACCTTCCAGGAGATGGGTAAGACCACTGTGTTATTAAATGAAGAGATAAAGAGGAGTATTCACATAATTTGATGTTATAATAATTTTTTTCCAAAAAAAAAAAAACCCTCTGAAGTTACGAAGACTGAGAGGACATTTACTGAGACAAGTACATTTCTTCACTGATTAAACCCCAAATTTCACAGATTCAGTTTAGTAAACTGGATTTGAAGTCACTTCACAACATTCCAGCAAAGGACATTCCAGGAAAGAGAGATAGGAAGAGTTCTGGCTAAGACAATGGACCGGTCCTAGCTCTATCGCTCTCTAGCTGTAATTATCTTGGGCAACTTTTTCTAACAAAGGGATAATACTGCTATTCACCTTGTAGGCTTACTGTGACAATTTAATGTAACCTGCTGAGCTCAGTTCCTGGTACTCAGCAAGCACTCAAATGTTATCTATGTTCTAGTCACATTACTGGCACGGACGCTTGTGAAATATTCAAAAGTGTGACTAGGACCATTTCTAGGGCATAGCGGGTTATGTACAATTCTGAACTTCAAACTTCAGAGATCCTAGCTACCCCAGTAATCAGCAGCTCAGCTGTTACTAGTTGCTGGGGGAAAAAAAGCTCAAAGGGAGCCCCTCCCTTCTACCACCAAAACAAAGTTGTGAGATTCCCCTTTATGCCCTCAGACTGCATACTTTTGTGACTCCCTTTCCCCTCAAAAGATTCCTTTCAGGCCCAGCTCAGTGGCTCATGACTGCAATCACAGCACTTTGGGAGGGTGAGGCAGGCAGATCACCTGAGATCGGGAGTTCGAGACCAGCCTCACCAACATGGAGAAACCCCATTTCTATTAAAAATACAAAAAAAATTAGCCAGGCGTGGTGGCCCTAGGTACTCGGAATCCCAGCTACTCGGAAGGCTGAGGCAGGAGTATCGCTTCAACCCGGGGGGTGGAAGTTTCAATGAGCCGAGATCGTGCCATTGCACTCCAGCCTGGGCAAGAAGTGCAAAACTCCATCTCAAAAAAAAAAAAAAAAAAAAAAAATGTGGCTTAGGAGGAAGTAGTGCATAGTGTAATTATAACCCAGGCCCGGCTCTCGCCACCCTCTAGGGGAAATCCCATCTAGCCCAAATGCCTCTAGGGACAACTGTATCTCAAGTTTTTTTTTTTTTTTTTTTGAGACAGTGTCCCATTCTGTCGCCCAGGCTGGAGTGCAGTGGTGCGTGGTGCGATCTCGGATCACTGCAACCTCCGCCTCCCGGGTTCAAGCAATTATCCTGCATCAGTCTCCCGAGTAGCTGGGATTACAGGAGCATGCCCAATTTTTTTTTTTTTTGGAGACAGTTTCACTCTTTTTGCCCAGGCTGCAGTGCAATAGCGTGATCTTGGCTCACTGCAATCTCTGCCTCCCAGGTTCAAGCGATTCTCCTGCCTCAGCATCCTGATTAGCTGGGATTATAGGCACCCGCCACCACACCCAGCTGATTTTTTTGTATTTTTAGTAGAGACGGAGTTTCACCATGTTGGTCAGGCTGGTCTCAAACTCCTTACCTCAGGTGATCCACCCACCTCAGCCTCCCAAAGTGCTGGGATTACAGGCGTAAGCCACCGTGCCCGGCCTAATTTTTGTATTTTTAGTAGAGATTTCACCATCTTGGTCAGGCTGGTCTCGAACTCCTGACCTCAAGTGATCCGCCTGCCTGTGCCTCCAAAAGTGCTGGGATTACAGGTTGAGCCACTGTCCCTGGCTGTGAAGTACTATTTTTAATAAAGAATAGTATCTGCAACAAGAATGGAACTGAAATATTACCAGTACACCATTTACTATAGAAATAAGACTTCTGAGACACTCAGGAAAACCTGAGCATTAAAACAATTTTTATTCTATATTTTGAAGACATGAGTTGAGGAATTTTTTATATTTATAAAATAGATCATTCTTCCTCTTTGCCTTTTTGAAAAGGGCAAATATTTTACCTGTATAAGACTGAAAATTCTTTTTCACATCTCTTCCTATTGCTGTTCTGTATTATTTGCAGAATTTACTTTTTGGGTTCCTTTGGATAAAGCAAGCACTGGCCTTGTTATAAAATGAGGGTTATCTCAGGTGAATTACAGTTCTTCAGATAACCAGTTTCAAATACAAATGAGGACAAGAATGACTGAAAACTGGTGCACCACACATCTGGGTTTGCCTTTTGTTCGAGAGTGAAAAGAGCTAAAGAAATAGGGATGGCACGGCGCATATGTAGGCGCCATGCTACATGGCTTATATTAGGTGTCAGTACAAAAAGGACTGAGTTGTATACATGGGAAACTTAAAAAAAAAGAAGAAAAAAAAAAAAAAAAAAAGAAGCCATGGCCAGAGTTCACTTGTGTAATGCATTATTTAAGAAAGAAATAAGTCAAGCACAAATAAGGGAAATAGTTAACTTCAGCTTTAAAACAGATGAACTACATCAGTTTAAGACTAGACTGACCTCATGATGAGGTGCAAACATGTAAATATGCATAAATATTACTTTATCGTGCTTGAAATTTGCTTTATTATGAAGAATTCCCAGAAATATTCTGATTTCCAATTATTTGTATTTTTCTTGCATTTACAAGTTCTTAGCTGCATGTTATTATGTAATATTTGTGGTCTGAAAGGACTATTTTATATTATCTTTAGAAATCATTGGTAGTTTCCTATTTTATACTATATCTAAAGTTGATATAACTCAGATGTTAGAAAATTTTACAGCTAGCTTTCCTCATTTTACAAATGGGATACGCAAAGTCTACAGACATTTGTCTTCCTCAAAGTCACAAACAGAAGGGTTCTTGCAGCAAAAACAGGATTAGCATCCAGACTCTCAACTCCACTCCTTGAAACACATCTCACAGCCTCTGTGAACTGACATTGCAAAGAAGCAGTATGACTATCTGGGCAACCGGGTCTAGCTTTAGTTTATATGTCTAAAACAAGTGGCACTTACCTTTGTTTCATTTTTCTTGAGAAATCTAAATATTCCATGTAAGGATTTATGTGACAAATAGATACAACAAAGATGAATTTGTTTGGCATAAACAATGTTCCATGTAAGTGCATCTTATCAACTTCTGTGAAATCCAGACAGTTCAAAGGAGTTAAAAGAAAGGTAACTTCTTTTTTTTTTTTGAGACAGAGTCTTGCTCTGTTGCCCAGGCTGGAGTGCACTGGCACTATCTCAGCTCACTGCAACCTCCGTCTCTCAGGTTCAAGCCATTCTCCTGCCTTAGCCTCCCGAGTAGCTGGGACTATAGTCGTGCGCCACCATGTCTGGCTAATATTTGTATTTTTATTAGAGACGGGGTTTCACCGTGTTGGCCAGGCTGGTCTTGGACTCCTGACGTCAGGTGATCTGCCTGCCTCGGCCTCCCAAAGTGCTGGGATTACAGGTGTGAGCTACCATGCCATGCCCTAACTTGTAATTTTTAAGCATACTGCTGCCAGGTGTATTCAAAGGCTAAAGTGGAGCTACATTATGAACAAAAATTAATTTTAAAATGACATTAGCCTTTTAACAGATTATTTAAATAGTTTATTTTTGTTAATGATAGGAATATTTTCTCAGTAAGTTCAAACCATTTTATAACAGGGAAGAATAAGCTAGTGTTAGATCTGGAAAAGTTAATACAGCATTATCTTGAAATTTTAGGGATTAAAAAGTGGTTGACTGGAACTTCACCTTTTTTAACCAATGTTAAAATAAACATATTTGAATAGAAAACTGTATCTGGTTCTTTCATATTTCAAATGTAAAATACTTTAATAGAGAAAATTCCATTTTCTGCATCTATTTAGACGATATTACAATAAAGGCAGTGTGGATTGGAGAACATAGCTAGTGAGATTAGGTAACATAAATTTAAGAAGAAATTAGCTTTTCCATATGAAATAAAATCAATGATCACATAAATTTAACATGATTATGAGGACTAAAGTAAAAACACAAAGTACAATATAGCTTTCGGTTTCTTGTTCGGCACATATATTAATAAATTTTCAAACATCAAACAATATAACACCAACATCTACTAAAACCAACTAGCACAGTAAGGTTACTAAAGCTTAGTTAATTATTAACATCTTAAAAGTCTAGTTCCCATATGAATTCTGTAACCAAGAATATTCTCTGTACTGTGCAAGCTGGTCAAAGCACCATCTTTTTCAGGATTCTCCAGAATTCGTAAGTATTTCAAAGTTAACTCATGTCGAATCCCACAATTCCTTATTGAATGTGGTGGACCTTCTGAACAGGGCTTCATTTATGAGGCCATATGCATATACTCATCACAATTTTGAAAAGAATGGAAGGCCTTCATACATATCAGTTTTTAATTTTATCCAATCATTAATTTTCTGCAGAGTTGTTTTTTCTTGACTTAATATTTTTGCAACTTTTTTCATTTTTTGTTCATTTCTCTCTATGTATTTCAACCCTTCCAACTGCAGCTGATCCAGCTTTTCATTTCGACTTTCATCTAGAGGTATGTTTTCACACATTACAGGATTGAATCTAAAATAGGTGTCAGGAGGTAACAGGCCATCAAGCATTATATGGACTTCTGTTAAAGCAAAAAAGAAAAGGATAGGGGGAGAAGAAAAGAGGGGATAAAGTGAGCAATGAACTGTTAACTTTATTTAAAATTATCTTCTTTTTAGGCACATTACAAAGATTCACTAATTTCATTATTCAAACTAACAGTAGAAGTAATCCATAGTAATGGGTAAAACTACAAGATAAAATTCATCTTCCAAAACACATTATTCTGTGAAATTAGTTTACTTGTTCTATTCTCTCTATGCTTTTGGTCATACCGTTCACCACTGCTGAAACGCCCTTTCCAATCTTCCTTTTTTTGTTGTTTTTAATTTTTTGGGATCATCTTCATTGACATATCATTTACATCCAGTGCAATTCACCAATTTTAACTGTACAGTTTGACGAGTTTTGACAAATGTATACACTTGTGTAAGCACAACAATCATGACATAGCCATTTCCATCACTGTAAAATTTCCTTTAAGCCTCTTTATAATTGGTGCCAGCTTTCCCTTTTCTAGAATTTCATACAAACAGAATCACAAGTATCTACCTTCTTTTACATGGCAAAATACTTCTGAGATTCATCCATGTTGTAGCATAAATCAGTAGTTCCTTTCTTTTCATTGCTAAATGGTGTTCCATTGTATAGATACAACACAATTTGTTCTCTGCAGTTCTGGTCTGGCTCTCTTCAGTTTTTAGCTACTAGAAATAACCCTATTATAAACATTTACACATAAGTCTTCATGTGCACATGATTGCATTTCCCTTGGGCAAAAATGCAGGAATAAAATTGCTGGTTCATATGGTAAAGGGTATACTTATTAAAAAAAAAAAAAAAAAAAAAAAACCTGCCACACTGTCTTCCATTTTTATATTCCAACCGCTAATATATTAGAGTTCTCACTGCTCTACATCTTTGCCCAAAGTTAGTATGTCAAGTCTTAAGTTTTGCATTGCAGAGGTAGTGTTATCTTGTGGTTTAATTTTCATTTCCATAATGACTAATTATGTTGAGAAGGTTTTCATGTACTTATTAGTCATTTGTATATCTTCTTCAATGAAGTGTCTGTTCAAATCTTTTGCCCATTTTTTCACTGAGATCACTGTGTCCTATCTATATGACAGTGGTGCAATCATGGCTCACCGCAACCTCCACCTCCTGGGCTCAAGTGATCCTCCTGCCTTGGCCTCCCAAGTAGCTGGGACTACAGGTGTGTGCCACCATGCCCAGATAGTTTTTTATTTTTCTGTAGAGATGGGATCTCACTATATTGACCAGGCTGCTCTCAAACTTCTGGGCTCAACTGATCCACCCAAAGTGCTGGGATTACAGGCGTGAACCACCATACCTGGCCTATATTTTTTATATATACACACGTATATATACATATATACATGTATATGAGAATTCTCTATATATTTTGAATCTGATTATAAATTTATACCTCATGATGGGTCAGATACATGTTTTACCAATATTTTCTCTTAGTGTATGAATTGCCTTTTCATTTCATAAAAAGTATCTTTTAAAGAGCAGAATTTACAATTCAAAGTCTAATTTATCTCTTTCTTTCCTCTCTGGTTCATATTTTCTATGTCATATCTAAAAAATCTTACCTACCCAAGGTCATTAAGGTTTTCTCCAGCATATTGTTCTATAAGTTTTATAGTTTCAGCTCTTAGATTCAGGTTTCCATCTAAGATCAGGAACAGGGTAAGATGTCTAGGCTCACGACTTCCAGTCAGCATTGTACTGGAGGGTCCTTTTCAGTGCCGTAAGGCATTAAAAGGAAATGAAGGGCATGTAGATTAAAAAGGAAGAAGTAAAACTCTACAGACAACCTGGTTGCCTATGTTGACAATTTTAAGAAAGCTATAAAAAGCTACTAGAATAGGTGAGTTCAGCAAGTTTGAAGTTATATAAGGTCAATAGAAAAAAATTCAATTGTATTTCTGCATAGTAGCCATGAATGACTGTGATGCATTCCAAGTTACTTCTGTGTATGGTGCAAAGGGATAAAGGTCAACGCTGTGGATATAAGTATCTAATCATCCTGGACCATTTGTTGAAAAGTCTGTCCTTTCCCACTGAGTTACCTTAACACCTCTGTAAAAAGTCTTTTGAGTTTACATGTATAAATCAATTTCTGGACTATTACATACCATTGATTTATATGTCTATATTCAAACACCACAGTTCCTTGCTTAAAGTAGTTTTACAGTCTTTAAATCAGCAGATGTAAGTCCTCCAACTTTTTCTTTTTTCCAAAATTGTGTCAGATATTCTAGGTCAGGGGTCCCCAACCCCTGGGCTGCACAGCAGGGGGTGAGTGGCAGGGCCAGTAAGCAAAGCTTCATCTGTATTTACAGTCACTCCCCATCGCTCGCATTACAGCCTCAGCTCCACCTCCTGTCAGATCAGTGGTGGCATGAGATTCTCATAGGAATGCAAACCCTATTGTGAACTGAGTATGCAAGGGATCTAGGTTGTGTGCTCCTTATGTGAATCTAATGCCTGATGATCTGCCACTGTCTCCCATCACCCCTAGATGAGACCATCTGGTTGCAGGAAAACAAGCTCGGGGCTCCCAATTCTACATTATGGTGAGCTGTATACTTATTTCATTATATATTACAATGTAATACTAGAAATAAAGCATACAATAAATGTAATGTGCTTGAATTATCCCAAAACCATCCCTCCCCTCCCCACCCCGATCCGTGGAAAAACTATCTTCCACGAAACCAGTCCTTGGGACCAAAGAGGTTGGAGACCACTATCCTGGGTCCTTTGCATATCCATATACATTTTACAATCAGCTTGTTAATCTCTATCCCTCAAAAGCCTGCTTGGATTTTGACAGGAATTGTATTGAATCTATAGATCAATTTGTGATGTGATACCTTAACAATACTGAGATTTCCAATTCACAAACACAGTATATCTATTTATTTATTTAGGTCTTTAATTTATCTCAGTAATGTTTGGTAGTTTTCACTGTTCAGATCTTGCACATAGCCCACAAATTTTAGTTTCCTTGACCTCCTTGAACTACAAACTTTGTTTCTCCAACTCTAAGAGACTGCCCTACTTTTCTGGTGCCCCCTCCCTATGCTATAGTATAGAAACTCTTTTCAGGCAGCAAACTGGACATTAACAGTGATGACCTCATTCATTCTCCTTTCAGAGATCACTGTCTTATGTTACCTGTTATCTAATGTCTGAAAACCATTGTTCTGTCTACTTTTCTAGTTGTTTAAGGTGAGAGGAAATATCTGGTCACTAATATTTTATGATGTCCAGAAGAGGAAGTCTTCACTCTCTTTTAAAATCTCCAAATCCTATATATCCTTTAAGACCCACATCAAGTCTACTTTACATCTTATAAGCTGTCTACACCAATCAAGTTTTCTCATTCCTCTTCTTAATTCATAGTCTTAATCACTTACAATCATTTACCATTTATTTAGCAATTCACCACATATTAAACCCTATGAAATTGTTGTTTTTGTAGGCCAAGAGCAATTTAGTATCAGTAAGTACATGTTTCAATATAATTCTTGTTATATCTTTTTCAAAGTTAACTGAGTTTATTAAATTTTTACTCATTTGTCTCTAACTAGAGTGCAGGTACACTGAGGCAACATTTCATGTTTCTTGAAAATTCTAAATAAGCCCATTACATGGTTTGCAAAAAGTACAGACTTAACTCTTATGAGACTGCCCGACTAAAGTCACTTGTCTCAGCAAATGGCTTATGGTAAGGATATTTTATTGAGCCATCAGGGAAATGTGAATCAAAAACCACAATGAGATCGCACCTTACACCTGTTAGGTTGGCTGTTATCAAAAAGACAAGAGATAATAGGTGTTGGCAAGGACGTGGGGAAAAGGAAACCCTTGTAAACTGTTTATGGGAATGTAAATTGCTACAGCCACTATGGAAAACAGTATGGAGGTTCCTCAAAAAATTAAAAAGAGAACTACCATATGATCCAGTAATCCCACTCCAGGTATATATCTGAAGAAAATGAAATCGTTATCTTGAAGGAATAGCTGCACACCCATGTTCACTGCATTATTCATAATAGCCAAGATATGAAAACAATCTGTGTCCATGGATGAATGGATAAAGAAACGACAGTATATACACACACAAGAATCCTATTCTGCCATAAAAAAGAAGGAAATCCTGCCACTTGCGACAACAGGGATGAACCTGGAAGATATTCTGCTAAAGGGACTAAGCTAGACACAGGAAAACGAGTAGTGCATGGTAACACTTTTATGTGGAATCTAAAATAGTTGAAATAAAAAAAAGAGAGGAGAATGGTGGTTGCCAGACACTGGGGAGTGGGAGAAATGGGGAGATGTTGGTCAAAGGGTACAAATTTTCAGTTATGACTACCTATTAGAGATCTGACGTACAGCATGGTAACTATAGCTAATAAAAATGTATTACGTATTGTTTACTTGAAATTTGCTAGGGGAGTAAATCTTAAGTGTTCTTACCAGGCACACACAAAATAGTAACTATGTCAGGTGACAGACAAGGTTATTAGCTGGATTATGGGAATCATTATACAAGGTATACTTATAATAAAACAATTTGTTGTACAACTTAAATATATACAATTTTTATGTCAGTCTGACCTCAATAAAGCTGGGAAAAAAAGAGTATTTCACTGATCTGGCAACAAAATTTCAGATAGTGAAAAATCTAGCATATGAGCTTTTTTTGGGTTTTCATTCAATGAATAAAAGTCCTCAGTGGGGAGTTTAAGATTCTCACTTATGTTAATGACTTGGCCAATAATATGCTGATATGAAAAGAATGAGGTTCAAATACAAGGAGCTGTTAAGTGTTAATTTTTTTTTTTAATTTAATAAAACGTTTCACCCAATAACTAAAAACAAAATAGTAAAATGAGGAAAGCTAAACCTCAAGGCAAGGCCCGGTGGCCCATGCTAGTAATCCTAGCACTTTGGAAGGCCAAGGCAGGAGGATCACTTAAAGCCAGGAGCTCAAGACCAGCCTGGGCAACAGAGGGAGACCCCATCTCTACAAAAAAAGGTCTAAAAAATTAGCTGGGTGCAGTGGTATGCACCTGTAGTCCCAGCTACTCAGGAGGCTAAGGCGGGAGGACTGTTTGAGCCCAGGAGTTTGAGGCTGCAGTGAGCTATGACTGTCACTGCATTCCAGCCTGGGCAACAAAGTGAGATCCTGTTTCTAAGAAAAACACACACACACACAAACACCTCAAGGCCAAAACCAGAAATTCAACATACGCTCACAGAATGCCTACTATATACCAGGCACTGGAGTCAACAGCAAACTGAATAAGTCAAAGTAAACTGGATACATTCTTGCCTTGCATTCTTGTGAGACAGAAGGATAAGTAAACAATCAAATATATCATATATAATTATAATGAGATAAATGCTGTAAGAGAAAGAGAAAAAGAAGCAGGCTAAGAAATTAGAGCGAGATGATAAGGAAGATGGAAAAGCAGTCAGGAAAGGTTTCTCTGAGGTCCCTCTGACATTTCAACAGAGACCTGAATGAAATAGGGTCAAGTGCCTATCTGGGGAAATAGCCTTATAGACAGAGAGTACAACAACTACAGAGGTCCCTGAGGTAGGAGAGTGCTTAGCAAGTTTGGTGACCAGCAAGAATTAAAGGGTGGTTGGACACACTTTAGAGAAGGTACTTGAAAGAGGGTTTTAAGAAGGAGACAGACATTTTTTTTTTTTTTTTTTTTTTTTTTTGAGACGGAGTCTTGCTTTGTAGCCCAGGCTGGAGTACAGTGGCGTGATCTTGGCTCACTGCAACCTCTGCCTCCAAGGCTCAAGTGATTCTCCTGCCTCAATCTCCCAAGGAGCTGAGATTACAGGTGCACACCACCATGCCTGGCTAATTTTTTGTATTTTTAGTAGAGACGGGGTTTTACCACATTGATCAGGCTGGTCTCGAACTCCTGACTTCAAGTAATCCAACAGCCTCGGCCTCCCAAAGTGCTGGGATTACTGGTGTGAGCCATTGTGCCCAGCCTAATTTGCATTTTAAAAGGATGACTTTGGCCTCTGTATGAAGACTAAACTATAGGGGCAGCAAGAGTAAAAGCAGAGCACATTCTCATTCCAGTTTGCCTTCACAGTATTAAATAATCGAATGCCCTTTACTCTAAATCTTTGCTATCATGTATATGTTTGAACCAATCTGACTCCTTTTGTTGCTTTTCCCTTTCTTAACTGGCTTCAGAGTCTCCAACAAAATGTTGTGCTATCCAGCTTCAGGCACTTCTCCAACAGTAAGTGGGCAAAGGGAGCACTAGCTTTCAAATGGAAAACAGTCTCTGTTCTAGTCACCTAAGAAGAAACAAGCAAGAAAGGAAAACAACAAAATGTTTGCTCCCATATCCTTCCTAAACCCACAATACAGACATATCATATGCCTTTGCAGTTAGGACCAACATATGCCACCAAAAAACTGCTAGAATGCTAGAAGTTGAAGTATTTTAAACAGTAAACAAGACTAACCTTCTGTATCTGTAGCACTGTTGATAACATTAGAAAGTTTGGTTTTCAGGCTTGTGTGTGTTACCGTGTTTCTCACATCACTCTCATAACGTCCGGTGCCCAGGGATACTATGCACTCTAACGGGACATCTGGCCAAAGACATTTACACTCATGCATAGCTAAAGCCGAAGGGTTATTCAGAAGCAAACCTCCATCCTGCAAAATACAGGTTAAAAAAAGAAACTCTTAAAACTGACTCACAGGAAAAGCTGAACTATGTAATAAGCTAAATAAATTATTTAAAACTAAGAGGTTCCTTAAAAGTACATTTCTTTATTTATAGACTACAGCTGCAAAAAAATTCATGTGAAGACTCATTGGCCTCATAAAGAAACTTCTTATTAAGTTTTCCTTTCCTATTATGAAAGTTCTTTGAACTTCTTAGTTGCTTTGCATATTTTGCTAAAAAATATTGAAATGAACTGAATTACTTTTCAAAGACACATTATCTTATTTAGTGGTTAATACAGGTTCTACTTAAAGCCTAACAGAAAGAACTGTGGTTCTACCAAACAATTAAAATTAGTTCTTCTCTCACAAGTCAAATATAATCAAATAATTCTAAGTTAGTTGAAATTCTATTAACAATACAATTTCAATGGATCACATTCATTATAACGCAGATACAATGTAAACAACATAGACAAAACTTTATATTTCTAAGTATTTATCAATAATCAAGATTATTTTGAAGAATTCAAAAGGAAACAAAGGTATTAATAAAATATGCTGATAGAGCACTATAAAAATGTACTAGCATAAAAGTAGATAAAATTATGGTCAAACTATAATAAAATATACTGTAGAACCATATGAAAATATGTTACATCATCAACATTATATTGTATTTAAAATCTAGAAAAATACGCTGAGCATGGTGGTTCATGCCTGTGATCTCAGCACTTTGGGAGGCCGAGGCAGGAGAATCACTCGAGTCCAGGAGTTCAAGACCAGCCTCAAAATTTCAATTTCAATTTTTTAATTTCATGTATGATGATTTCAGTATAATTGTAAGAAGTCTTCACCTAACCCAGGTCACCAAGTTTTTCTTCTAAAAGTTTCATAGTTTTTGTTTTACATTTAGAACTGTGATCCATTATGAATTATCTTTGTATAAGGTGCGAGGTTTAGGTCACGGTTTCTGGGGTGTGTTTGTGTGTGTGGTGGGGGGTTAGGGGAAAAGAGAGGGAGAGAGAAAGATGACCAATTGTTTCAACACAATTTTTGCTGAAAAGACTATCCTTTCTCCATTGAATTGCTTTTGTATCTTTGTCAAAGATGAAATGGCCATATATGTATGATCTATTTCCGAACTCTCTATTTAATTCCATTTATCTATATATCTATCTTTATGCAAATACCACACTGATACAGTAGCCATGACTACTGTACCTCTAGAGTAAGTTTTTAAATTGAGTAGTGTGATTCCTTGAAACTTTTTATTCTTTTAAAATTGTTTAGGCCAGGTGCAGTGGCTCATGCCTGTAATCCTAGTACTTTGGGGAGCCGAGGCAGGCGGATTGCCTGAGCCCAGGAGTTCAAGACCAGCCTGGACAACATAGTGAAACCTTGTCTCTACTAAAAATACAAACAATCAGCTGGGGGTGGTGGTGCGCATCTGTAGTCCCAGCTACTCCGGAGGCTGAGGCAACAGAATAAATTGAACCTGGGAGGTGAAGGTTGCAGTGAGCTGAGATTGTGCCTGGGTGCCAGAGCGAGACTCTGTCTCTAAATAAATAAATAAATAAATAATAAAATTGTTTAAACTATTCTCATTCCTCTGCCCTTCCATATAAATTTTAGAATCTGACTGTATAATTTTTGAAAAGTCCTACTAGAGTTTTGATTGGCATTGCATTATATTTATAGATCACTTCAGGAATAACTCACATCTTTACCATGTAGCATCTTTCAATCATGGTATGCCTTTCCATTTCTTTAGGTCTTCTTTTATTTCTTTCATCTTCTGTTTTCAACATACAGATTCTCTATGTTTTGTTAGATTTATACCTAAGTACTTAATTTTTTGGATCTACTGTAAACTATACTGCTTTTGTTACAATTTTGATTTCCAATTATTCTCTGCTTGTATATAGGAATATAATCAATTCTCCCAAGTAGTTTTCTTTGTGGAAAATCATCTACCCCACCATTAGTGCTCTGGCTTGAAGGTCCCATTAAAAACATCATATAGGATTTTGCCCTACTAATGAAGTATACTATTGTTACTAAAATTTCTCATGGAATGTGAAGAACACTCCTCATCTTTTCACAAATTTTTGCTCAGTTATTTTAGGGGGAGTGGCAGTATTTTGCAAACCATAGATTATGGCAAGTCTTCATTTATGGCATTACAAAACAACTTTCTCAAAAACCTGTATCTCAAATAATACTCTGGTTGGATCAATAAGCTCACATTAGGAGGCAGCTATCAATATATAGAAATGTTCCTAAATACTAACAACACTTTCCAGAGAAAGTTAACTGGCTCTTTAGTTATAGAATAACCAGCCTGAGGCTAATGGACCTTTATTATGGCAAATGTCATTTATCATCATTTATCACCAATGTGTAGCTTTGTGATACCCTTGAGATAACTGGGATACACAGGGCTGTGTTGACGTTCAGAAAAGCAGTTTGCCACATCTTTTTATTGCTTGCTCTATTCTCCATTTTAGCATGGGTGGTTTGTTGCCACATTTACTCCAAAAACCTATTCATCCAACTACTCTTCAAGGTCACACATTGAACTTTGTTATCAAAATGAATGGAATCATATAGCATAAGTTTTTTGGGTCTGGTTTCTTTCACTTAGCAGAATGCTTGTGAGATTCATCTATGTCTCTGTGAATGTCAGTAATTCATTCCTTTTTATTGCTGAGTAATATTTCATTATTTGAATATACCATAGTTTATCCATTCACCAGTTGAAAAGAACTAGTTTTAAATTTAGCTATCTTTATACATGTGTTGAAAGTAATAAATTGGATAGGTATTTATATTTGTATTGCTGAACTTTGTAAAAATCTAGATTCCTTCAATGCAGGTGGTAATAATTAAGCTATTTCCTAAAGGCTTTCTCATGTACAAATTTGAATTTAATCCTTTCAACTTTTTCCTTTGTTTTCAATTAACAGATTATTAGAATGATACCTATCCTGTGATAGAGGTAACATTTAAATTCTAATTTGGCAGAAAACATTATTTTTTTACTAAACCATTTAAATCTTAAATTCTATACTTGTTATACCCTGTGTAACTTCTAATCAAGTAGGTATTTTAGATGAAACACATTTTCATTATATAAAAGCCTATATAAGGATGATCAGAAAAGACAAAAAAGGGAAAAGATGAAGAGGCAAACAAATTTTAGCAAGAAACGATAACTGCAAAATCAATCCCAAATCAAAAAACTGGCAGGTTTCCTGTAGTTTCGCTAACCATTTTTCAAAGTAAATTTCTGTTCCTTAAACTTTACTCACGTTTTATCAAAACAGTGCAGCAGTTAAGGTTTCTGGGCTCACTCTAATCTAGTGGTGAGGCACACTAACTCTTAAGCTCTCTTTTATAGTTAGCCTCCTCTTTTCAGATGCCTATTCTATCAATACGTCATTGGGCTAATGTTGGGTCTGTGGTAGTTCCTGTAGCCTTTCCATTCATTCAAGTATTCATATTTAGAGTTATTTTTTTATAGATGGCATGTGCCAGGCATACTGCTAACTGCCAAAGTAAAATCGACTTGATAAATGACTTGATTGAATAATTTACTTATTATCTCTTAGAGGAACACACAGATTGTGTTTGAACTGCAGTATACTATACATGTGCTTAATAGCCTAAAATTTACAAATACATTTTATTGCTTTTAATGTATATTTAATCACTTCAAATCCAAAGTCAGAACACGTACCAGAAAGTAAGCGTTGGACAACGTCGATATGCCTTTTTATTATCTTATTCTGACTTTTTTTCTTAGTTTCTTTTAAAATTTGCTTTTTATTGTGGTAAATTAATATAACATAAAATTGGTCATTTAAATGATTTTTAAGGGTACAATTAAGTGGCATTAATTATATAACGTTTTGTGAACATCACCACTATCTACTTTTTTTTGAGGCAGGGTCTTGCTCTGTTGTCCTGGCTGGATAGCAGTGGCATTCACTGTAACCTTTAACTCCTGGGCTTAAGGTGATCCTCACGCCTCAGCCTCCAGAGCAGCTGGGACTACAGGTGTGGACTACCACATCCTGTTAATATTTTTTTCTTTTTTTGGTAGAGACAGGGTCTCACTATGTTGCAGCAGGCTGGTCTTAAACTCCTGAGCTCAAGCGATCCTCTAGCCTCGACCTCCCAAAGTGCTGGGATTACAGGTGTAAGCCACTGTATCTTGACACTACAGTCTATTTCCAAAACATTTTTACCACCCATACTCTGTAACCATTGAGGAATCACTCCCCATTTTCCCTTCCTTATCCCATTTTCTATCCCTAATCAATGACCCAATTTTTATACATCAAGTCAGATGACAACTTCTTTGTTAAGCTGACCCTGACAGAATAAATCACCTCTATAGTACTTCTTAATCCTGTACATATGTTGATGGTTAAATTTTCACCTTATTCTATAACTGGGTTTACATTCTTTTGTCTGAACTATTTGAGGGCAGGATCCAGGAAGCACAAACAATATGCCAACTATGGTTAAAAATCTTTATATCCTTCCCAGCTAGCACAGTGCCTGACACTGAGTAAGCACTCACTACATTTCTGTCCATTTATAATGAAAATTATTAATTGTGGTTTGGTATAGGCATAATTTAGCAGGTGTCAGCGAGGTTCTTTCTGCTAAAAACACTCTTTACCTGTAATGTTTAAACAAAAATTTCATAATTTATTTATGTTTATGTATCCTAAGCTCTGAACAAAAACTTTTATGATGTAAATAAAGCCTGGTAGGAATAATATGTATATCAGAATTGGTCATCAAAACCTCTAGTGTAAACTAATTTATTAGATTCTTTCTCCAAAGACAGGAATGAACAATTTAATTCTGAAGGTGGAGATGGAAAGAGAGATGGAATAATTTTGTGTAAAAAGTAGTACTTCCATGTACATATTATGCTACTACTTGGGCAGATGGGGAGAGATTGGGAGCTACTCACAAAGAATTCTTCTCACTTTATAATTTTCTAGGACTTCTAATGAACCTTATAAATTTTGTAATACTCTTCTTCTTATAGTCAAAGGCAAATGAAATCTCCCCATTCACCTACTCATAACTCTTAATTATATCACTACTTTCAATAATTGCTCAAATAGAATATTAATTAACGTCTACTACAATGGATACAAAGTAACTACATTAAAACATATGTCAGATGTGACAGCTAAAAGGGATTTTCAAAATAAGACTGGTAATAATTGAATATAATTATTAAAAGAATTTAGGATGAGAAGGTTGTAGTAAGTACCATACTTTAAACTTAGCAAAACTTCTGAATGGTTAGAAAGAATTAGGACTTCGCTTGAATATTTTCTTTGTTTAAGCAACCAAGATCATTCACACCTTAAAATATTCCCATCAATCTTCTGAGTTGTCATTTGAAGGGAAAAGTACCCCATTTCTTCTTCAAGTCTTGGAAGAGAATATACAGTAAGAAAAATATTTCCTTAAGTAGGTTTCTTGGGCTCCAGATTCCATTTGAATACTTTTATTAATTAAATGTGCCAATGTTTCTGAAGCTTATTTATTTATATGAAAGTACATTTTTTGCCCATGTGGCTATATGCTTTACATAAAAATTTATGTAAATTATAAATAACATTTATTTATTCAAATAACCTTAAGAAGTTATTTTAATCTGTGGCTCAAAATAAGTTGAAGGATTACGGTCATCAATATAAAAATGTCTAAGCATGAACAGAAATATCACTAATCTATCTGAAATGGAAAAGGAACCGCTAAATTACTTTGGTATATATATTCAACAGTACTGAGTTAAACTTTAGAACTACTTTCTCTTAGGTAAAGAATAAAGAGCAAATGAGATAACTTCTTTTGAAATGTGGAAAACACATGATCCCCAAATGTAATTATTTAGTATTTGAGACTTTCACTAATTGGCATAACTGAAAGTTTGTAGCACTATATTAAGGTTATAACTTAGAAATCCTATTGTATTTTACATACACTGTCTAAATTATTTCTCAATTTATGACACAGTACATAGAATAGGGGGAAATCGCTGTTAAAAATAATAAGCCACATATTAAAATAAAAATTTTATTTTGACCATTAAGTCCTGAAATCACTATCAGAATCTCAGCAGCCAGTACTTTCTGCCTGAGGGGGTGGAAGAAAGAGAAGAAAGGCAAGAAGGGGAAGTGCCTTACATAATTCAACAATGACTGATTCTGCAAAGTAAGAAATGGTTTGAACTGACTCCAAAGACAAAGGAATCCTATTTTAATCTCTTAGCTACAAATATTATATTACTTAAAGATTAAAAAGAAAATGGGAATAGCTGACCATAACATTTAAAAAATATATATAAGCTATTGTATCAAAATGAGATAAAATTGATAAAAATGTTTTAGTTATAATATTGACATTTACATTTAAATGATCCATTTGAAAGTTTTGAAGTTTATATTGTTGACATGTTGTTTATATAGATCTATGTATGAGTTTTTGAATGCTACCTGAATATCCCTGTCAACAGTATAAGATTTTTTTCTCAACAGATATCTGACCAAATAAAGAGAGTAGACATACTTTAGGGACTACAGAAAAACATCAAGATTCCTCTCATTCTACTCCTTTAAATGAGACATAATATCAAAAATTAAGCATATATAAAAATACAAGCTTTCAAAGTATCAGCTCTAAAGCTTTATTAGCATTTAGTGTAAGTTATGAATTAAGATTTCCATAAAGAGTTGGAAAAACTTGACAGAGGAAAAGTGTAAATGAGTTTACATAACATAAAAAGAATTTCCAGAAATAATATTCAACTTTACAAATAAAGAGTATAATTACAGACAATATCCTAACCCTGTAACTTAACAGCTGTGATGCTAGTCCAGTTACTTAACTTTTCCTAAGGTGCGAATTCCTTGTTTGTAAAATGGAAATAATTCTACCTCATAAGTAGCAAGGATGGAATGAGATAATGCATGCACAGCACTAAATAAGTGTCTGGCACACAGCTAACTTAATGAGTATTTATTATTATTTTACTGTATCCCTTTCTTCAAACTATGCCCACCCAAACTGTCAAACAGACTGGGTTCTGCATTTTCAGGGAGTGTATATCGGTTTTAATTTTTATCATGTTTGGAAAGCTAATCATACATACTCTCACTTTTCCATCAAAATTATCATAATGGGCTACGAATCACACTATATAACACACAAAAATTTTCCCAAAATGTGTTTGCATGTCAGAGGCTTGTTAAGAAAAACAACAAATAAAAATATCCTAAATTGTTCCTCTTCTGACATATGAAGACACAAAGAAGAAAGTCTCCTAGGTTGATCCTTCTGAAGATCAATGACATTTAATACGTGTTGATTCTTTTAATCATGTAAAATTTTAAAAGATAAGACATACAAGTCAACTTACTTGATGAAGATCATTTCCCAATGCATATTCTGCAAAGTAGCCTGGAGCAGCAGATGAGGCTCTAATGGCCTGCCACATTTTATACTGACAGCCTCCCAAATAATGAGAGTTGTTTCCAGGAAAATGACCATAGTTTCTGAACACAAAAGCTTTGGGTGTTATCCCTCTATTTACTATGGTACTTACAGCAGCTACCTAGTAAATAAAAAGGTGAACAATTCCATCGTTAACAGTAATATATTTGGGATCTGTAAAAATTAAATACTATTTAGTAGTATGAATGAACAATCTACAACTCTATCAAATAAATATGTGTAACACAACTATAATGTTGAAAAAAGAGAATCAGATCTTTTAAACAGGCATTTCTTTGTGGGATAATAGATATAAAGGCTGAAGCAATTCTGAGAAATTTATTATAAGAGAATAATAATAAGAGATTTATTTGACCACCATTCAATTTGATTTAAAAAATATTCAAAAAGGCAAACATTTCTAGACTTTTACTTAATAATTGACAAAACAGTAGTAATGAATAAAAACTGCTTAAAGGCTGGGTGCAGTGGCTCACACCAGTAATCCCAGCGCTTTGGGAGGCCGAGGAAGGTAGATCACTTTAGGTAAGGAGTTCAAGAGCAGCCTGCCCAAAATGGTGAAACCCCATCTCAACTAAAAAGACAAAATTAGCTGGACATGATGGCGGCGCCTTCCAGCTACTCGGGAGGCTGAGGCAGGAGAATCGCTTGCCCAGGAGGTGGAGGTTGTAGTGAGCTGAGATCGCATCACTGCACTCCAGCCTGGGTGACAGAGTGGGACTCTGTCTCAAAACAAACAAAAAAAAACTGCTTCAAGATAAGTACACTATTATCATAATATCACTTACAAATTAGTCTTTGTTTCTGTGCTCTATGAAAGTATTTTGACTTCAATAAAACTGAAATGTAACACTACACAATCAATGCTTTCAGGTCACAATTATTAAAACCTGGTAGTTGGGTAATGTTTATTAAAAAACTATAATGTCAACCATCTCAGGTCTCAAATTTTATCATTGTTGGTTAAATTGACATGAAATGTGCTGTTTTGTTAATGATCTGTAATACAAACTTAAGAGGCTGACAGGTATTGATGAGGCAAAAGTTAGTGTCCTATGCCAAGTCCTGCCAATTGTTTTGATATTTAATAAACAAAGGTCACATGCCAAATTCCTGTGAGTAATCCAAGTCTGTCTCTAGGCCACTATGGATAGGCATTGGCCATACACTAAAATCCAGAGTCTTTCTATAATTGGAATATAAATATGGCTGGATTAAGAAAACATATGAGTGGCTCTCCATTTATCATGATTATTTACTTCTTAAGATGGCTAAAGTTCTCCATAAATTTTATTCAAAACTGACAACTTCCATGATTTAAACCAAGCAAACAAACAAGGAGCCTTGGAGATACAGGGGAACAAGCAAGAGGCATAGAGTGCACCCTAGTGTCCTCTCCAAAAGAGCTAAGTCATCTCTTCATCACAGCCTCTGAGGCCCTGCGTCTGATCTAATTGGCCTACTGCTCCAGCCTCATCTCACGTGCGGCCCTCGGATTCTGAGGCACTAGTCTTCAAGAACTCTATCATTTAGTGGAATTCTCTATGACTCTTCCTGCACAGGCCATTCCCTTTGCCAGGAATGGTCCTACTCAATGGCCTTCACACTGACATCTCAAATCTCACTTCCTTAAAGTAGCTGTCCCTCACATCCCTTTAAAAATATGCTTTCAGAAAACTGCTTTTATGCTCCATAGCACTTATGTATTTCAGGGAAACTACGACATGTCATCTTTGTGATTATTTCATTAATACCTTTGCTGCCCTACAGAGCTATAAACCCCATGTCTGCATTTGCCCACAAATGAATCCAAAGTGCCTAGCAGTGGGTGCATAATTAATACTTGCAGAATGAATCAAAGTATGAGTATGCCATAAAGAGCAATAGAAGGAGCTGCACTTGTTTGATTTTTCACGGTACAGTTTGTTATCTGAGAATAAATACAAGCTGCATGAAATTTCTAGGCACATAAATTCTATTCTTTAAACAAGTAAATTAAACAGAACTCAAGCAATACTCAGATCATCGGGTTTCAAACAAATAAATAAATGAAGAGTCACACTGAGACACATCTAAGTGACATTAAAATTTTACTGGGGATTCAATTTGTATAACAATATAATCTAATATAGTCATGCACTGCATATCAATGTTTTGGTCAATGATGGACCGCATATACAACAGTGGTCCCATAAGACTATAAAGAGGCTTCTATGCTGTATTTTTTACTGTATCTTTTCTATAGATATTTTTTATTTAGATATTTGTATATCTGTAGATACGTAAGTATTCTTACCATTGTGCCACAATTGCCTACAGTATTCAGTATAGTCACCTGCTGTACAGGTTTATAGCCTACGAGCTATAGGCTACACCATGTAGTCTACATGTGTAATGGGCTATACCATCTAAGCATGTCTAGGTATACTCTATAATACTTGCACAATGACAAAATCACCTAATGACACACTTCTGAGAATGTATTCCCATTAAGTGATGCATGATTGTATTATATGTATCTAAGAGGCATATAAAATTTCTCTTTAAAAATCTAGGGTAAGAAATGTCATAATGTTCCTTAAATCACTAAATTTGATTTTTTAAATTATGATGAAATAATTCTTCCTTATTTTCAGTCTGACTTTCATGTTCTTCCATTTCTGTTATAGTCTTACTGGATTTAGAAAAGGAATAAGGATCATATCCTATCTCTTCATACAATGACTCAATATATAAAAAATTAATTAATCTATAATACCTTAATAAAAGGGCCCTCAGGGCCGGGCACAGTGGCTCATGCCTGTAATCCCAGCACTTCGGGAGGCCGAGGTGGGCAGATTACCTGAGGTTGGGAGTTTGAGACCAGCCTGACCAACATGGAGAAACCCCATCTCTACTAAAAATACAAAAAAATTAGCCAGGTGTGGTGGCACATGCCGGTAATCCCAGCTACTCGGGAGGCTGAGGCAGAAGAATCACTTGAACATGGGAGACGGAGGTTGCGGTGAGCCAAGATTGCGCTATTGCACTCCAGCCAGGCAATAAGAGTGAAATTCCGTCTCAAAAAATAAAATAAAATAAAATAAAAGGGCCCTCAGGACAAGTGCTTTCACCAGACCTTCAGATGGAACTAGGTGTTATATTTAAGAGACTCTAAGCTTACCTTGGGACATGTGGGGTTTCTTGCTGTTTCAATCATCAGTGCAGATCCCATTCTATCCCTTTATTAAAGGAGAAAAAATAAGTTATATCAAAATGACTTTATCTCCTAACAACCAGGAAACATAGAGTATGCAATTATTGTTTGTCCATGGCTTCGTCAAAGTGCTATGAGGGAAAAAATGTAAGACTCTCCTCTAGGAGGCTTATAATCCCATTAATGCACATGAAACAATATGCAGTTATTTATCAACCTCTGATTCAAACTGCAAGTGTCTATAGTTCTGAAGTGGAGCAACCAATAGAGGGACAGTAACTGGAAAAGATGCAGGAAATTAGCTTGAGGAAGACACTGAAAGACTTCAAGGCAACATACTTAAAGCTAGGACGTATACAGATTAAAGGCACAAAGGCAAAAGAAATCTGTTGTTTTCAGGGTCCTGCCAATAGGATAAAGGAGCTGTGTTGAGATAAGACTGCAGAAGTATGCATGGGCTAGTTAGAGTAACCAGGTGAGGACAATGAGACTTGAAGCTTGTTTTAGTTGGTAAGAGCCAATGTCATCAAGAAAACTGCTTTGAAAATCATCAGAGTTGGCATTTGAATTACTATGACATTACAGAAATTGTCCTTGGGCAGCAATTTTTGCAATTCCATAGTAAGAGAATTTTATTTCAATGCAGACTTTTCCAGACTTAAAAATTATGTATTTTCCCTATATTGAATACAAAGGCTATGTATGGTTTCACCAACCTTCCTCATGAGTAAAACCATTTTCTAATGTGTTTTTCAAACAATACTCATGTTTCTCAACTAGAATATTAGTGAATTTCATAAAAAGAATATTTACAAACTGCTTAGTGATCTACCCTTTATAAGCTTTAATAAATATCAATGTAAAGTACTTTCCAAAATCGACAAGATCTTTTGTCTTCCCCAACCTTATCTATACATTTCTACCACATGAAGATCCATGCATTTTATCTTTTTAAGGTTGTCTTTTCATAGAATTCTTACTGTAAAATTACATGAGAAATCCCAGAAGCATGCTGCTTTCACACTTTTTGGCAAAGTTCATATTTATTTATTTTTATTTTTGTTTAAATCTTGATTTTATCAAAAGCTAGAAAGGTTTCAGTGAATTAACTTATGAATATAAATTTGTAAAGAAAGTAATGGTAATTGTTTATTTCTGAGATGCCAAAATATGAAAAAAAAAAAAAAAATCAACATGCCTAGATTCTACTGATGCCATAAAATAGTTCCCTTAAAATAACACAAAATTATCACAGGAAAAAAAAAATCCTCTCAATAAACAATGAGGGAAAAAAAATGCTATGACAAAAAAGGTCAGAAGGTAGGTAGAGAAGAATATTAACAATAATGGCACCCAGTGAATCATAGTCCTGGTATCCATGTCGTTGTATATAGTCTCTTCCTACAGACTCTTGGTTGGCGTGGCTTTCAGTCCATGTGACCTCAGCAAACATGCCATTAAACTGAGGCTTGATAAGTGCTTATCCACTGGGGCTGAGACAAAGCTTGGGTAAGAATGACCAGGTGGAGAGAGAGACTTCCCAGGCCCATTAGCTGAGTCACCAAGTGAGCTCAGTCAAGAACAGAAGAAACACCCAGTCAAACCACAGAGTCATGAGACTAAATAATCATTGCTTTAAGCCACTAAGTTTTGGAGTGGCTTATTCTGCAGCAAAGGCTGAATTTGAAAAAGCAGAGAAAGAAAAACAACTAACCACACTGATAAAATTTATCAGTGTTAGGATTAAAAATAAAGAAGTTTCTAGAAGAGTAAAAATGAGACAGCAATACACAAATATGCAAAGATACACTCATAAGTAACAAAAGGAAAAAAATTTCATAGTAGAGAAACTGGTTTTAGAATAAATTTTTAAATTTTCATTAAATAATCTTAATAAAAAGAATTGATTAAATGAATCTGGGAATAGATATGAATTATATATATATATATATATATATGTATATATATATTTTTTTCTTTTTTTTTTTTTTTTTGAGACGGAGTCTCACTCTGTTGCCCAGGCTGGAGTGCAGTGCTGTGATCTCGGCTCACTGCAAGCTCCACCTCCTGGGTTCATGCCATTCTCCTGCCTCAGCCTCCCGAGTAGCTGGGACTACAGGTGCCCGCCCCCATGCCCGGCTAATTTTTTTTTTTTGTATTTTTAGTAGAGATGGGGTTTCACCCTGTTAGCCAGGATGGTGAACTATATTTTCTAATAGACACAAAAGATGTGAAAATAAGTAACATACAATGATAACGGATGGGAAGATTTCACGATTGGAAAGATGTCAATGTTCCACAAAATAAGTGATACGTTTCATGTAATTTCCATCCAAATACCAGTGGAATATTTTTTTATGTGATAAAAGTAGCCTAAGATTAACTTTGAAGATTAAATGAAAATTGTGTAAAAGAAGAATAAGGAGAAAAGATTTGCTATGCTATATCATTATAAAAACATTATGCAAAGGTTCAACAACTAAATTTGCAGAATTTGTACAAAAATAAATCCATAGAGAAACCAAAAACTTGAACATAGATTCTAATATAGGTAAGAATTTCAAATATGATAAAGATGATGTTTCAAATCAGTTAAAAAAAAAAAAAAAAACACTTGGTAAAGGGAGCTGGGACATTTGGATTAACATTTGATTAAAAAAATAAAGCTTGATTACCTTACAACATATATCACAATAAGTTTTAGGTAACTTCAGAATTACATATAAACCGAAAACTTTAGAACTAGGAAATAATACAAATATTTACCTACCTTCAGGGTAGAAAAGACTTACTTATTTTTTTTTTAATTTAAACTTTTAGTATAAAGAGTATGCATGCAGGTTTGTTAATGGGTAAACTGTGTGTCACTAAGGCTTGGGGTCCCAACAATCCTATCACCTAGGCAGTAAGCATGATACCCAACAAGTGGTTCTTCAGCTCACACTCCCCCTCTCCCTCCCATCTAACGGTCCCCAGTGTCAATTGTTCCCATCTTTATGTTCATGTATATTCAACGTTTAGCTCTCACTTGTAAGAAAGAACATGTGGTATTTGGCTTTATGTTTTCGTGTTAGGTTGCTTATTATAATGGCCTCCGGTGCCAACCATGTTGCTGCAAAGGACATGATTTCATTTTTTTTTATAGCTGCACAGTATTCCACAATGTATATGTACCACGTTTTCTTTATCCAATCCAATGTTGATGGGCACCTAGGTTGATTCCTTGTATCTGCCATTGTGAACAGTGCTATGATGAACACATGAGTGCATGTGTCTTTTTGACGGAATGAATTATTTTCCTTTGGGTATATACCCAGTAGTAGGATTGTAGGAAAGACTTACAAACATAAAAGTTAAAAATCTTTAAAGGAAAAGATTTGGCTAAATGAAGATGTTTCAATGCTCTACATTAAAAAATTATTAATTAGAAAGCACTTTTTCAATATATGGTTAATATATTTACAACACATTGAGGAATATCCCATGAGAAAATAGGCAAAAATTATGCCCTCAAAATTCACAAAAAAATAATAAAAAGCCATGAAAAACCAAAACTAAGTTCAAACTCATCAATAATGAAAGTGATACAAATTGAAACATGAGTTTCAAAATCTCTCAAACTAATGTCATTTTAAACATTAAGTGACTGGTGTTCACGAGTATTTCATGAAACAGAAATACATGTTGATGTTGCTGGATGAGTAAGCTAAAACCACTGTACTGAAGAACAAATTCAGCTATGTATGTATCAAGATTGTTAAAACACGCATATCCTCTGACCCACAATTTTACTTCTAGAAAGTTACCTTATCTTTTTCTAAAAGAGGATTTGTTAAATAAAAAATAGTACATCCATAAAATGGTGAAGAACCATTAATATATGTTTCAAAACATATTAACTGACATAGGAAATCATCTGTGATAAAATGCTAAGTGAAAACGCAGGACTCAAGACTCCATGTGCATTATCTGAATTTTGTGAAGAGGATGGATACACCCACACTCACAACTACACACATATACACTTGTCTATCTGTAAGAAATTACAGGAAAAAATACATCACCATGTTAATAGTGCTTTTGTTCTTAGTGGGATTATAAATTATTTTTATTGTTTTCTTGATATATTTTCTATTTCCTATGTAATAATTATTTTAAGAAGACATCAACATTAGACCCAATAAATATGCTTCTTATATAGTCACCTACTGATATATTCTGAAATGTGAGAAGAAATTTAAAGTTTTCTATGACAGCATCGTTCATAATCCCAAAAAATTAGGAACATAAATGTCCTAAATGTCCATAAAAATCCTAAATGGAAATGATTAAGAAAATGTAACATCCCACTCTGGAGTATAGTGTAGTCTTTAAAAATATGTCAGGAGATTTTAAGAATGTTTGGAAAAAGGAAAAGGATACAAATTTACAACTACAATCTAATCTCAGCTATACAAAATGTTTATGGTCTAATAAAAAACTAGAAGGAAATATATTAAAGTCTACAGCTCTGAATAATAGGATTGTGGATGATTTTATGCTTATATTGTATGCTTATATACACTTTGGGAGGCAGGCGGATCACTTGAGGTTAGGAGCCTGAGCAACATGGTGAAATCTTGTTTCTACTAAAAATAGAAAAAAATTAGCTGGGCATGGTGGTGCACACATGTGGTCCCAGCTACTTGGGAGGCTGAGGTGGGAGGATCACTTGAGCCTGGGAAGTTGAGGCTGCAGTGAGCCAAGACAGTACCACTGTACTCTACCCTGGGCAACGGGAGTGACAGCGTGTGTCAAAAAATAAATAAAAATAAAAATAACTGAATATTTTAGAATGACTTGAGACATTTAATATGTTAAGTAAAAACAACAGGATGCAAATATCTCATATTTTTAAAAAAAGGCAATTGTAACTTTTACATGCAAATCTCACACACACACGAACCCCCCAAAACAATTATTAAACTATGATTCACCAAAATACTAACAGTGGTTATCTGTAATTAGTAGAATAATTTAATATTCTTGATATTTTTCAAATTATGCAAGAATATAATTTAATATTCTTATTTTTGAAATTATAATATGCACATACTACCTATATAATCAGAACATTTAAAAAGAGTAATTGTAACTTACCGAAGAATGTTTTCCCATGCTTGACTGTCATAAAATGCATGGCTCCAACTCATTTTGACTGTTCCAACAATGACATTTTGTGAAAATACATCGGATCCTAATTTTCGATAAAGTTCCTCACATTCATCCAAGGGCATATGAAACAATCCCAACATGAAAGCTAATATGGCACCTGGAAAAAAGAATTCTTAGTTTTTATCAGTGTTAAGTTATAGCCCTTATGCTGATAAGATCTCCTGAATCATAGTTTTGGCTTAAATTTAGAGTTGATACTTTCTAGCTATGTCACCTGGGACAAATGACTTTCCTTCTCAGAGCCCCATTTTTTTCACGTGTAAAATGGGAGTAATAAGAAAAACTAAAATTCATGTCTCTTGTACTGGGTTAACAAATGTAAAGGGATTTACTAGGTCTCAAAAAGGATTAAATGAATGCTCAAAAAGGATTAAATAATGAAAATAATAATTTAAAAATATTTACAAATGTGTTGTTTTACATTAAATTATATATAAGATATGGTAGATAACTCACGTTCTTTCTAACATCAATAAATTACTTAGTTTTAGTCTTAAAATATGGTATATTTGACAACTCACCAAGTCACTAAGCGATTCTCCTTCAAGTTAGTCCTAGGAACCAATGTAATTAAAGATATTAGGTACTCTTGGATGTCCTTTTAAACAGCTGATTCCATATCTAGCTATAATTGGTAGGACACACTGCCACCTAGTGTGCCTAAATGGCATAACCATGAACAAAAGAGAAACGGGAGGAGAAAATTTTGGGGTATGGAGAGAGGGCTAGAGGAGGCAAAGGACTATGATCTTAAACATAAGTACTTAATGTTCTCTTCCTTAATGTACTGCCAGAATGCACCACTTCCATATAATAATTACCTGTGCTTACACCACAAATGTAATCAAAGAGCTGATGAACTGGCTTCTGAGTAAGTTCAACTAATTTTCGTAGGGTCTGGAGAGCAACCACGCCCCTATAGAAAAGATTAAAGGCAAAATGACAATTCCTGTTTAAAGAAAAAATTATTTAAGCCATTGAATAAAACAATCTAAGAATTGCTTTTGTAGTTTATATGCTAACATGAAAATTAAAAATATAAATCAGAATCAGTAAAAATTGCCTGTCCAAATTTTTAGGATTACTTTTGAAAATCTAATATCTAAATGATACAAAACCTACACTATGGCAGCACATTTTAAAATTTATACTAGTGTCTCTTGTTTTTTCACTGAACCCATCCTTCTGCAAAACAGTATCTCTTTAAATAAGAATAAATCTGGTCAGGCAGTGGCTCTTTCCTGTAATCCCAGAGCTTTGGGAGGCTGAGGTAAGAGGATCACTTGAGGCCAGGAGTTCAAGACCAGCTGAACAACACAGCGAGACCCCATTTCTACAGACTGCCCAGGCTGGAGTGCAGTGGCTCACTGGACTCCCTGCAAGTGCCACCTCCTGGGTTCACACCATTCTCCTGCCTCAGCCTCCCGAGTAGCTGGGACTACAGGCGCCCGCCACCACGCCTGGCTAATTTTTTTTAAATTTTTTTATTTTTAGTAGAGACAGGGTTTCACCGTGTTAGCCAGGATGGTCTCGATCTCCTGACCTCATGATCCGCCCACCTCGGCCTCCCAAAGTGCTAGGATTACAGGCGCGAGCCACCGCGCCTGGCCACCAGTCAGATTTTTAAGCTCCCTTTTCTTTATTCATTTTTAAAAACTTTAACTTTAGGATAACCCTCTACATTAATGGTATATTAATTAATGTTGCTGACTTTGCTCATTTCTGAATCCTTGCCAACAGCAGTTAATAGCTTCACGAAGGAACGCGAAACGATGAAAAAGCTTAGGAGATATAGACCAACTGAGGGTGTACGTACCATGCAAACTCTTATGTGTGTATCATGACAATTTTTAACAGTGGGAGAGTACAAAAAAACGATGAAAAGCTCTATTGCCAACACAAGGTAGGGGGTAGGTAAGTCCTGGAACACAAAGGTAGTTACGCACCAAAAAATTTAGAGTGTCAAATTGTGCCTTGATAATGTTAACAGGAAGTAACTAGAAAATTCTGTAAGATTAAAGTAGAAAATCAAAGATGCTGATCTTTTAAATACAACAAATTATGTGGATTTGAGGAGAGTTAAGATGTCTTATGAAAGAGATACATTATTAATTCAAGGCAAGATGATGAATTAAATGTAATGGATACAATATATTTAACAATGACCTCTATTATCACAAAAAGGAAATAAAATAGGCACATATATGTTCACAAAGAAAAATATTAGAAGAAAATTAATCAAAATACTAAAATAATCTTAGAGTTGTGAGCTATGGTTTTAGGGATTTTTTTCTCTCTCAGGTTTTTCTAACTACTCGTATAATTGGGAAAATGAACTATTTAAAATGTTGTGTTCATAAATTCTGAATGAATGTAAATACATATATATTTGCCAAGTTGCCACAGCTGTCTATGCCTACCACTGTAGGTTCTCTTATACCAAAGAAGTAAAAGATAGGGTTTTTTATTTTTTCTCTCAAGCCCTCATACATTACTGCTTTTACACAAACCTCCCATTCAGGCTGCTTTCCCATATTCCCCTAAACCAAGTTTTCTCAACAGCAGCACTGCTGACATTCTGGGTTGGATAACCTTTGTTTTGCGGGGCTGTCCTGTGCACTGTATTATGTTTAGTCACAACTGTCCTCTTCAAACTAGATGAAAGTGGCAGTGCCCTAGTTATGACAACCAAAAATGTCTCCAGACACTGCCAAATGTCCTTTAGGGGGCAAAATCACCTCCAGTGGAGAATTACAAATCTAAACCTAACTTCATCCTAACCCACCCCTAGATTTTCCCAAATTACCTCACACTGATTTCCTCCTTATATGACTAATACAACTCTTATTCTACAAGACAAACTATTTATTGGATACAAACTTCTTTTTCGTCATGCTTGTCTGACCTTAAACAGACATCTGAATGTTCTTTAATTTTCTTCCTTCCTATCTCTACATAAATATAACTTTTTTAAAAAGAAGTCTTGGTCCTGAGCATTCTTTAAAATAGTACTCTTCCTCTCTATGCCTTTACTTTGCTTTATTTTTCTCCATAGCACCCAGAATAACATATTTTTGTTTTTCTATTTGTTGTCTTTTTCCTCCTCTACAATGCAAACACTGTATTGTTTTGTTTGCTCACCGTCCCCAGGATCTAAATCAGGGCTTACAACATAGTAGGCACCCAATGTCTGTTAGCTGACTCAATGAATGACACTACCTGTCGCAATTCCCCTGAACTTAATGGCAGAAAGGATTCCTTCTGCTCCTTAGTGAAATGCTTCTACTCATTTAACTGCCATTTTCCTTACTTCTCACCATTTGGAACCAATTCTATGAACTAGAATAATCTCTCCAGTTATCACTGTATCTATATCACATGAATGACATACACCTTCTTAACATTATTCACTTTCTTAAGAAACATCCTCTAAGATCTTTTAAGATTGTTCTCTCTTCAGTGGGCTTTTGACAACTGAGCACTTCCGTATGGATATAATCTTACATTAAATATGTTCAAGAAAAAAGTGTCTTTCCTCAACACCAATCTGTTGAGATTCCCTGCAATTCTGTCCCAGTCACACACAGGTTTACACTTAGAGTGATCTTGACCTATGTCTACCATATCCTGTCTCCATGTTTCTTAAAAGTTACTGGTATTGGCTGGGCGTGGTAGCTCATACCTGTAATCCCAGCACTTTGTGAGGCTGAGGTGGGTGGATTACCTGAGGTCAGGAGCTTGAGACCAGAATTGCCAACATGGTGAAACCCCGTCTCTACTAAAAATACAAAAGTAGCCGGGTGTGGTAGTGCATGCCTATAATCCCAGGTACTTGGGAGGCTGCAGCGGGGGAATTGATCACTTGAACCTAGGAGGTGGAGGTTGCAGTGAGCCGAGATCATGTCACTGCACTCCAGCCTGGGCAACAAGAGCAAAACTCCATCTCAAAAAAAGTTACTGGTATGTTTTTCCTTCCTCCTGCCTTCCACTGCCACCATCTGAGGTTAGCTTCCTTCTCTCATTATTTACTCCTTCCTTCATATTGATGTTAAAGTATAAAGGACTCGGGTGAATAGAGAACCAAGGAATTTAACAAAAAGATACAGGGTAGTACTTGAACATACAGAAGAGTGGTTGGCAAGTTGGGTATACCAAAAAGCAAAATCAGGGAGGTAAGTTAAAGCTAAGAACAATAGGCAGGGCATGTACTATGAATTATGAGGTAGCAGTAGGGATGGCAGGGAACTAGAGAATGAGCTAGAAGATTTTGGGGAAAAGGTTTGAAAAACCAAGCCAAAAAATCTAACCAACAAGTTGGAAGGAACTAGATAAACAAAGACTTGAGTAGGAAGCATGGATGGATTGCCAGTAGTAAAAATAGAGCTTAATAGTGAAATTACCTCCTTCTGAACAAAGAATGAATTTATTTCTTATATAGCACCAGAACTGCCATCTCCAGGTGAAGACATTAGAAGTCAGGAAGTTAATATAGCCTCATTTTGCAACCATCACTTTATCAAGTGACTAGTGGATATATATGGGTAAGATAAGTGTAATAAAAGAAAGCTGGCTGGGCGCGGTGGCTCACGCCTGTAAACCCAGCACTTTGGGGGGCTGAGGCAGGTGGTTTATCTGAGGTTAGGAGTTCAAGACCAGCCTAGACAACATGGTGAAACCACGTCCCTACTAACAATACAAAAAATTAGCCAGGCATGGTGGCGGACACCTATAATCCCAGCTACTTGGGAGGCTGAGACAGGAGAATTGCTTGAACTTGGGAGGCAGCGTTGGCAGTGATATGAGATTGCGCCACTGCACTCCAGCCTGGGCAACAGAGCAAGACTCTATCTCCAAAAAAATAAAATAAAATAATAAAAGAAAGCTAAAATTATAAAAGACCATCAAGATTTTATGAGAATAATGGTTGATAAGCTTCTAAACTACCAAAAAGGTCTAAAAAGGCCAAATATAAAAATAGAAATACTAAAATAAAATAAAATAAAATATGAAAATATAAATACTAAATCAAACCAAAGTAAGAATTGAAGTATATGTCAGAGTAGCACTTAGATTAATTAAAACAATTTCATGTTTTATTTAAAAAATTTGATTTTATAATGATATATCAAATCATTTTTTTTAATTCCTAAAGCTGAATTGAATCTGTAGTTTTCAAGAACCATGTTCCAGCTGTGTGTGGTGGCTCGTGCCTATAATCCTAGCACTTTGGGAGGCCAAGGCAGGCAGATCACCTGACGTCAGGAGTTCGAGACCAGCCTGGCCAACATGGGGAAACCCCATCTCTACTAAAACTACAAAAATTAGCTGGGTGTGGTGGCGGGAGCCTGTAATCACAGCTAATTGAGAGGGTGAGGCAGGAGAATCACTTGAACCTGGGAGGCGGAGGTTGCAATGAGCTGAGATTGTGCCACTGCACTCCAGCCTGGTCAACAGAGGGAAACTCCATCTCAAAAAAAAAAGAAAAAAGAATCATGTTCCTAGCCTTACCTTGTTCCTCCACCATCAATTGAGAGAATTCGGATTCCTCTCCCTTTCACTGGATCCACGTAGCCAATTAGGGCCAAAATTTCTCTAACTGCGGCCTGAAGAGTTTCATCCTTAGTTTGTCTCAGTCGTAATAAATATGGAATAATTCTTTCCTATATTGAGAGAAAATATACTTTATTGCTTTTGTCAAATCAAGACTGAAAATGTATGATTATTATTAACCAACACCTGCAGTTCATCACATGACAATCAAGGTGACAGTGTTCATTACTTTCTTAGTAATCTTATAAGACAGATTAGTTTTTGATATATTAATGTCAATTATCTAGATTATATTTGTTTTAATATTGGGACAAAAATTAACCTCTATTCAAATATTTTCATTAAAAGGTGTAATACTTAACTAAAGAAAATATAATTTACTTAATTATAGAAATTCACAAAGTATTACAACAAAAGGTTAACATTATAAATTTTGTATAATATTTTGTACAAATCCTGAGATTAAGAGTCTAAAACTGATTCATAGTAACTACTAGAAGTTAAACTGTTATTAAAAAGAAAAAATGAACCATCTTATATACATTGCATAGGGGATTCAAGGGTGCCTCATAAAGGAATAGGAACAAATGTTAACAAATAAAACGGAGGTAAGAAGGTAAAAACAGGCTACTACAATTAAATAATCAGTTTAAATAAACCTGAGACTTCAAGATTCTAAGCACTCAACATCATATTGTTGATCACAGACAAGAGCTTAAATCCTAGAGTTCTATGTTGCTTACCAAAGATTCTCTAGCTTCTGTACACAGAAGCACCTGACATAGTCAGCACCCCAGGTTTAATGGAATGGCTGAGTGGCAGCTATAATTCTGCTGTGTAACCTTCTGTAAATCAAATAACTTTCCTAGGTATCACTCATTTTGTTTCCTTTTTATGATCAATCAATCTGAAATACTCTAAATTCTTTCTCAATATTTTTCCCCCTAATGTTGAGCTGTGAGGCCCCACTAGAGGAACTTGAGCAATGGTGGAGAATAATGCAAATTTCCAGTTCCGGTTAAGATGAAACACTGTGTTAGAGATCAATGCTCACATTAAGAACAAGAAAATCTTGATGAAATACAAGAAAAGCACCATCTGTTTAAAGGCATCAGACAGAGAGCTGCTGAAGCAACAAGAACAGATGGAGCCAAGAATCTGGAGAAGGAGTAATTGCTAGGAAGTGAGCTGGTAAACTATAGCTTTTCTTCCCTTGAGGCATTTGCTGATTCCAGGAAAAAGTAAAGGATGAAAAAATTGAGTCTGAATCAGACAGAGGGCCCCAAATAAACGACAGAGAAACCAGCTGATCACTTAGCATCTAAGGGGTTTGGAGTGAAAAAAAAATAGAAGACCTGAAGGGCTTCAAACACATGGCTAGCTTTACCTCAAGACATCTGCTGAATTCTAAAATCAGGAGGTGTGAAAGGAGAAAGGTAAGCTGAAGACCTCTGAAAATCAGAGTGGAAGGCTTTGTATTCTTGAGATTTTAGGACCCAATGAGGTGGTGGTTAAGTGAACACACCAGGCTCTCAACTGAAAGCCCCGGAAGAATATGCCCTAAAATCAGGGCAAAAGAGAGGTCTTACCCAAACTGTAATACAGCCTTGATCCAGATTTGACCCTAACTCAATTAAGGCTATCTGTGCTCCACTCAAATGCTAAACAGAAGAACAAATAAACCCTGGAAAAATATATAATTTGATCTAATCTACAGCCTATGCAATTTTTCAAATTTACAATCTCCAGCGTCCAGAAAAACTATAAAGCATGTGAATCCAGTACTGAATGACAAAAACCAAGAATTGATGTTCATATTAGAATAACCACAAAAAGATGTCATGGCTTGGAAACTCAACAAAGACCCAATTCACCCTAAATTGTTCCATATATTCACTGCAATCCCACCATGTTTTTCTCTTTAAAAATTTTTTTGTAGATAAGCTGATCCTAAAATTCATATAGAAATATAACATGTCAAGAATAGCCAAGCCAACAATATTAAGAAGAACAAGGTTGGAGGATTTATACTACCTAATATTAAGTTTATAAAGCTGCAAAAATTTAGCCAGTGTACTATTAGAGCAACAATAGACAAATATACCAGTGGAACAAAATACTGTATCTGGTCGGGCATGGTGACTCACACCTGTAATCCCAGCACTTTAGGAAGCCGAGGTGGGTGCATCACCTGAGGTCGGGAGTTCAAGACCAGCCTGACCAACATGGAGAAAGCCATCTCTACTAAAAATACAAAATTAACTGGGCATGGTGGCGCATGCCTGTAATCCCAGGTATTAGGGAGGCTGAGGCAACAGAATCGTTTGAACCTGGGAGGCGGAGATTGTGGTGAGCCAAGATCGTGCCACTGCACTCCAGCCTGGGCAACAAGAGCGAAACTCCATTTCAAAAAATAAATAAAAAATACTGTGTCTAGAAACAGATCCATATATACATCTCATTTATGATAAAGGTCTTTTCAATAAATGGTGCTGAGTCAACTGGATAAGTGTATTTTTTAAAAGTCAGGACTTCTGCCACACACCACACAACCAAATCTATTCTAGATGAATAGTAGATATAAGAGTAAAAGGCAAAACAAGGTTTCAGAAGAAAACACAGGAAAATTTATGTGTATATATATATATATATATTTTTTTTTTTTGAGACAGAATCTTACTCTGTCGCCCTGGCTGGAGTGCAGTGGTGCAATCTCGGCTCACTGCAACCTTCTCCTCCCGGGTTCAAGCCATTCTCCTGCCTCAGTCTCCCAAGCAGCTGGGACTACAGGTGCACACCACCAAGCCCAGCTAATTTTTGTATTTTTAGTAGAGATGAGGTTTCACCATGTTGGCCAGGATGGTCTTGATTTCTTGACCTCGTGATCCACCCACTTCAGCCGCCTACCTCAGCCTCCCACAGTGCTGGGATTACAGGCCTGAGCCACGGCGCCTGGCCAAAAATACTTTTATGACTTTAGGATAGGCAAAGATTTCTTAAACAGGACACAAAATACTAACCATAAAGAAAAGTATTGACTGGGCACGGTGGCTCACGCCTCTAAACCCAGCACTTTGGGAGGCGGAGACAGGCGGATCACGAGGCCAGGAGATCAAGACCATCCTGGCTAAGCTGGTGAAACCTGTCGCTACTAAAAAAATGCAAAAAAATTAGCCGGGCTTGGTGGTGGGCGCCTGTAGTCCCAGCTACTCGGGAGGCTGAGACAAGAGAATGGCGTGAACCTGGGAGGCGGAGCTTGCAGAGCCCAGATTGCACCATTGCACTCTAGCTTGGGCGACAGGGCGAGATTCCGTCTCAAAAAAAATATATATATATATATATATAAATTAGAAAAAATTAAGAATATCTGTTTATCAAAAAACACAAGAGTGAAAAGGTCAGCCACAGAATAGGAGAACGTATTTGTAAGACATACATATACACACCACACATGACAAGTGAGTTACAACCATAATATACTTTTTAAATTCTACAAATAATGAAGAAAAAGTTGGTCAACCCAATGGAAGAACAGGCAAGATCTGGAATAGGTACTTCACAAGGAAGTATAAACACGGCCAATAAACCATGGAAAAGATGTTGAATGTCATAGCTATCAATGAAATAAAAAATTAAAACCACAATTTAATATCACTTAACACCCAAAAAACCTGCTCAAATTGAAAAGATTTAAAAAGGTTGGGTGCGGTGGCTCACGGCTATAATCCCAACACTTTGGGAGGCCAAAGCGGGCAGATTACTTGATGTCAGGTGTTCAAGACCTGCCTGACCAACATGTGAAACCCCGTCTCTACTAAAAAACCAAAAATTAGCCGGGTATGCTGGTGGGTGCCTGTAATCCCAGCTACTAGGGAGGCTGAGGCAGGAGAATTGCTTGAACCCAGGAGGTGGAGGTTGCAGCAAGCCGAGAACGCACCACTGCACTCCAGCCTGGACGACAGAGCAACACTCAGTCTCGAAAAAAGATTACAAAATAAAAGTGTTGGAGAGAAAGTAGAACACAGAGGCCTCATATAATTCTGGTGAAAGAATAAATTGGCACCAGCACTATGCAAAACCATTTGGCAGTATCTACTAATGATACAAATATGCTCACTCTGTGAGCAGCAATAGTACTCTTAGGTATATACCCCAAAGAAACGAAGACCTGTGTTTTCCAAAACATATAACCCAGAGGTACTACTCCTAAATATTCCCAAACTGCAAACCATCCAAATGTCTAGCAGTAGAGGGAAAAATGAAAAGTATACCCAACAATATAGAAGGTTCTCACAAACATAATATGGAGTGAAAAAAAAACCAGACATGTAAGAACACATGCTTATCATTCATATAACATGCAAAAAGAGGCACAACTAAATTATGCTGCTAGAATTCTGAAAAACTGATCAATCTTTTTGGGGACAGTGTTTGGAGTGTTCATAAGATTGTTTCTCATTCAGGGTAGTGGTTATATAGATGTATTTCATGTGTGAAAAATCATGGAGCTGTAAACTTATGATTTGTGTTGTTTTCTATATATAAAATTTTTATAAAAAGCTTTTTAATAAACCCAAAGGATGTATGAATTCTTGTGACAAATTCAGCATTTTAAAACCGAGAGGGGGAGAAAATAGAACATAGAAACAGGGTGGGCGAGGCCGGGAGCGATGGCTCACAGCTGTAAACCCAGCACTTTGGGACACCGAGGCAGGTGGATCATCTGAGGTCAGGAGATGGAGACCAGCCTGGCCAACATGGTGAAACCCCGTCTCTACTAAAAATACAAAAATTAGCTGAGCATGGTGGCGGGCACTTGTAGTCCCAGCTACTTGGGATGTTGAGGCAGGAGAATCCCTTGAACCCAGCAGGCGGAGGTTGCAGTGAGCCGAGATCGCACCGCTGCACTCCAGCCTGGCGACAGAGCGAGACTCCATCTCAAAAAAAAAAAAAAGAAAGAAAGAAAGAAAGAAATAAGCTGGGTGAGGTGGCTTACACCTATAATCTCCGTACCACAGGCAAAGCAGGCAGATTGCCTGAGCCCAAGAATTCGAGGCCAACCTGGGCAACATGGTGAGACCCTCTGTCTACAAAAAATACAAAAATTAGTTGGGTGTGGTGGCACATGCCTGTGGTCCCAGCTACTCAGGAGGCTGAGCTGGGCTGAATCTGGGAGGCAGAAGTTGCAGTGAGTGAAGACTGTGGCACTGCATTCCAGCCTGGGTGACATAGACTCGGTCTCCCAAAAAAAGAAAAAGAAACACATTTAACTTAGAAAAACAAGGAGTCCATAATATTATTTTAAAGGTGTAAAAAAATTCATTTAATCACTGAGGCAGCTATTAAAGCAACACCTTATTTTGAAAACTGGTAACTAAATACAAGGAAATTAAGCATTTCTCTTTCCTTTCCTGTAAAATTTGCCTTTGAGAATAGCCAAATAGCTTCAGTTGATGAAGGAAGGCTGTACTTTACAGAAGAATGTCAATTATAATGTAGGAGTAACAGAATTAGACATTGGTCATTCTGCAACTCTAATGAAATTACTAGTTCTGGAAATGATTAGGTTAATGGTTGATGAGATACTACTACTAGCACAACTGTCCAATGAGAAGCAGACTGTCATCACCTTAACCCGGTGGTCATCCTTAGCATTACTAATGGTTGTTCAACTAATTGTCATGTGTGTCTTGATGTGATGCATTATGAGGCACATGACATTACCTACAATGTGCTCTAACAACAAAATGTTTAACTCAATCAAGCCATTATATTTAAATTCCAATGTTCAGGAAATGAAAAGGAAAGAGGAACACTTCAAGTAACATTGAGAAAGAAGGCAAGTACATCCAGAAAGTGAGTCATTCTGCCTGTTAACCAGCCTGATGTCTTGAATTAAGTCAGTTTTAAAGGTGCAGGTGAAGAAGGTGTGGCTGAAGGACTGCATTATACTTTAAGTGACTTGGAGAAATAGTCAGATGCAATGTGTGATCTAGACTGGGCCCTCATTTGGATCTAATCAGTTACGTAAAGAACATTTTCAAACTGGGTACAGGATAAAGGAACATTTACTGATATAGAAAGGTATACATTATATGCTAAAAAACCAGATTATAAACAACATATACAGAATGAGTTTATTTTGGTATATATGTGCATAGAATGATTTCTGAAGGAATACTGTGGCAGACATTACTAATGTTCACCAACACCCAGTTTGCTTCCCCTTCCAAGCATACAGAAGGTTGTACTTTTCAGGCCCATGCAATCAGAAAGGATAAACAGACTGCGAGTAGAAGAAACCTGTGGCAACTTCTGCTGAAATATTCTTTCCTTGCCATAGAAATCATAGAGGAAGACTTAATTAAAATACAGACAACAGGACAGGATCTTAGTAACCACCACACTGAGGTTCACTGTGCCAAAGAGTCACTCAAATTCACAGTTGACTTTGCATGAGCCAGAAATAAAACTGTTTTGTTAAGTCACTGAGATTTTGGTGTTGTTTGCTATTAGAGCTTAAGGCAGCTTAATCCAATGAACACAAATAAACTCTAATACATTACAGTGGCAATCTGAGGGTAGTAAAAATACATTATTTTTATTTTCTTATCTTTTCTTTCTTCTAATTCCCTACGATGCTTTGTGCTGCCTTCTTTCTAAATGGTCAAAGTTCTTCTTTTTAATTAAAAAACATAATGAAAGGAGACCACCTTCATCACAAACAGTGAAAAAAATTATCACAGACAATTCCCTAAATGTGACTGCCATAAATGTAGCATACAAAATAAGTAACTCATTTTTTTTAGGGCATTACATATCAGACATAATTCACTGTATTTAGCTACCATAAGTATGGCAGACACATAAAAAAGTAAAATTCATACAGATGTTTTATAAAAATTCTATCATTTTCAAAAAGCTCAACTCTTGATAATAACAAAAAGTTTAGCTGGAAAAGTTCACACTAGAGCATACATGCTGACGTGTTTTACGCAACTTGTCCAGTTCACTGTTTTTCAGATGATTATTTAAGGGAAGGGTGATGAGTTTTTTCAGACTATCTAGACTTTTATTCATAATTGATCTGGATATACATTCCCATCACATTTGTTCACAGTATTGAAAGGTCCTTAGATTTGGGATTAGTTATGCAAGATAAAAGAGTGCTCAGAGTTTCAATTAGCAAGACTATTTAATAATAAACTACAACTGAAAACTACTCAGAAATCCATCAGTAGTACAACTGGCCTTGTAAAAGAGGTTGAAGTGAGCCCCCTTGCCCTTCTGCCATGTAAGTAGGCCATGAGAAGCTGCTGTCTAGGAGGAACGGGACTCTCATCAAATTGTTGGTGCCTTGATTTTGGACTGCCCAGTTCTCATTTTGAACTATGAGAAATAAATTTCTGTTTTTTGTAAATTACCCAGGCTAAGGTATTTTATTATGACAGCCCAAATGGACTAAGCCAGTATGTAATTCTATTTAAAAACCTTTGCTTTCAGTATATCACTGAAATGTGAAATATACTTAAAAGCATATGTATATTTGAGAATCTTATCTTTTATGCAAGAGATTATATAAATATAAAATATAATCCTAAATTGTAGGACCATAAAATACTGAAGCTAACTATAATAATGTATGTGTTATACAATACACAATTAAGGATGGGTACATTATTCAAAGACAATTCTTCAGCAAGATAATTGTTAAAAAGTCAAATAAATATGATCTAAATTAAAACAATTTTCTGAATGGCAAGCTAAAAATAAGCACTAAGAGATTTCTAATGAAATTTAAGCAATATCTATCATTACATTTTCAAAATTTTCATGAAATATTACAAATAATCTCAATAATATAGATGTAAAGAGACTCAATCACATTGGTCATATTTTATAGTACTGCTTTGAAAACGGTCCATATAAATGGGTCTAAATTATCCTCATTATTTTATAATTGAAAAACTGAGGCAAAGAAAAGCTCATTGTTTTACTTAATATAATTACTAATTCAATTATGAGTAAGGTCATTAAAATTTTTAGACTTTCAAATATGAAAGGACCATGAAATAAAAACAGCCTTACATATGAATTATGTCTCCTAGCTTAAAAGAATAGTTACATAGTATAAATATTTACATTGCTCTGAAGAAAACTCTGGCAGCTGTTAGGCAATTCAACTAATACACTGATTATTTTCTATTTTATAAATGTTTAATTTCATGTATACATATTGGTGCTAACAAAATAAAATGATTAGCATAATGTATGTCACAAAATAAATAGGGTAATTACTGAATATACATCACATGTATAATAAAAACCACAAAATTCAAATAGAAAAATGAACGGCTTTGCCTTCTCCATTTTAGAAGATTTTTTAGTATTTTTATTACAAGACAAAACCAGATTAAATAAATTAGAAATTACCTTGACAGCCACTCCTTTTCCTTCAGGAAATTCTAGAAGATGAAAAGTCAGTTCTTCAACCCTAGTAATGCAGAGTTTTGGGTCAGTTGTTCTTCTTAATGCCTGAACTAATGCCCGGGTCCTGTTATCAATACTCACCCTTGCGATAATCTACAAAGACATATTAAATATATATGATTAGAATACAAAACTGCTCTAAAGAACAATTCAAGTTTCTTAGTTCTCACTAGGAAATAAAACTTATAAATTTGACAAAAAGTAATAGAACCAAAAAGCACACTGAACAACTTGCCTTTTCTCGCTGAAGAGATAAACGCTTTTTCTCCTCTGCATTTCTGTCTCTGCTCACAGCCTGATCAGTTTTAGCAGGCTCTTCCTGTTCTTCTGACTGACTCTTAGAATCATACTTTAATTTGGGGACAAGTCCGCCAATATAACCACCTACTAAAGCTTGTACACCTTCAGTGGGACGAGAAAGTAAGTTAGCAATACTTTGTTTAGTTGAAATTGGAAGAACATCAGGTATTGCAGAAGGACTTGTAGGCTTGTCCACAGTATCTAAAGATTCTGAGCCTGGCTTGTAAGCCAGGATGCCAGGATCTGGAGAACTTAATTTCCCCTCTTCCACCTCTTTATCTTCAAGTTTTGATTTGTCCTGGAAATGTTCATTTTCCTTTTCTTGAGACATTTTTTCCTTACGTTTGAAGTATGAATTAATATGATTTGATAAAAAGTAGAATGACTCTCCAAATTTTGTGGTTATAATATTTGTGTAATGAAAAAGACTGCGTTTACCTCTATTTTCTTCTTTGTCTATAATGTGACTTTTCTCTTCTGGAAAAGGACTCTTTTCTGCTGATTTGTCACTATATTTTTTCAGAGATTTGATGGCTTGTTTAATGTTTTTCTGTTTTAACCAGCCACTATCTGATACTTTTCTTAATATTTGGGAACTTGGCTTAAATTGAACTAAACGTGAAATCATTTCATTTCGATTGCCAAAAATAGCCTTTGAAACAGAGTTCAAAGTACTTTTAATACGGGACATACAAATGTTCACTTTTGTAAGTCCCTTGGGAGCAGAAGTGCTAAGTTTCAAAATTCCAATATGTAAACCATGGTTGCTTGGAGAGTAACAGTGCTTACTGCAAGAATGTGCTTCGCTTTTGGTCCATTTACATCTTATTATGTTTGTATGAAAACCTCTTTGTAGACTGATGTGGCTTATCCTCCAGCAATGCTTAGGTGAGAACAAGAAATGCAGCTGCTTGCTTCTCTGCTTCCCACAAACACTTCTTGCATTACTAAGGAGGTAAATATATATATCTACAGTCAGATTAATAGACATAACTTAAAAATCATTTATTTTCTATGACATTCCCTCACTTCTTGAGTGCTTCATTTAAGAAATGCCATAATTCATGGTCTTACCTGAAATGGCAAGAAAAAAAAATTAGAATTCACGTTAAAAATTGAAATTGGGTATAATAGAAAATACAAGACTATTTGGACTAAATTCAGCAAGCTATATCAAAAAAAGCAGATAAAATATTGCCATTATAGCTGATAGAAAATTCATTTTTAAGCTAATATAAAATAATTCACTTTCAGTATAGAGGTAAATAAAAAAAAAAATGAGGAATAGAATGTTTAGGGAAAAGAACTAATTTAGAGAAGTTTCCCAATAGGTAAGTTTTCCTACAACACATAATTTAATATGCAATTCAGATACTCCGCTTTTTTTTTTTTCCCCTTCCTCACTGTTAAATTCTGGACTACTTTATGTGACACTAGACTTGAAGACACTATTCCTCGAAGAAAAAGGTCAGGTCTTATACATCATTCATTGCAAACGATTTATAGAATACTTAATCTATACCAGACATGGTGCTAGATGCTGAATTCACACAGTTACAGGATATGAAACAAAACTTCCAGTCTAGAGCTGCTAACAGCCATGTGAAAAAGATTTCACTACCTAAGTAATAAGTGCTCATTAAATCAAATAAGTCAGGCTAGAAGAAACTATAGCATCTAACATAGAAGGGGTTCTTAACCACTATATAAAAAGAATACATACAAATAAGAAAAGAATAATCCAATTTAAAAATGTAGTATTGGTAAAAGAAAAGACTAATAGATCAATGGAACAGAATAAAGAATCCAGAAACAGACCCAATTAAATACAGTTGATTGATCTTTCACAAAAAAGCAAAGGTAATACAATGGAGCAAAAATAGTCTTCTTAACAAAAGACAACTGGACATCCGTATGCAAATTAATCTAGACACAGACTTTATACCTATCAAAAAAATTAACTCAAAACAGATCACAGATCTAAATGTAAAATGCAAATGTATAAAACTAGAATGTAACGTAGGAGAAAACTTAGATGACCTTAGGAATGGCAATGACTTTGAGATAATATCAAATGCATGATTCATGAAAGAAAAAATTGATAAGGTGGACTTCATTAATATTAAAAACTTCTGGCCAGGCGTGGTGGCTCACACCTGTAATCCCAGCACTTTGGGAGGCTGAGGCAGGCAGATCACGAGGTCAGGAGTTCAAGACCAGCCTAGTCAGCATGGTGAAACCCCGTCTCTACTAAAAATACAAAAAATAAGCTGTGCATAGTGGTGCACGTCTGTAATCTCAGCTACTCGGGAGGCTGAGGCAGGAGAATCACGTGAATCCAGGAGGCAGAGGTTGCAGCGAGCCAAGATTGTGCCACTTGCACTCCAGCCTGGGCAATAAGAGCCAGGCTTTGTCTCAAAAAAAACCAAAAAAACCCAAAACCTTCTGCTCTGTGAAGGTCAATGTCAAGAGAATAAGACAACGAGGCAGAGACTGGGAAAAAATATTTTCAACAGACATATCTGATAAAGACCTGTCATCCATAATATTTAAAGAACTCTTAAAGCTCAACAATAAGAAAACAAACTCAATTACAAATGTGCCAAAGGCTGTAACAGACACCTCATCAAAGGAGATATATAGAAACAAATAAACATATGAGAAGTTGTACCACATCATATGTCATCAGGAAAATGCAAACTAAAATAACCATGATACTACAACATACCTATTAGACTGGCCAGAATACAGAACACTGAGAACACTAAATGCTGGTGAGGAGGTAAAGCAAAAGGAACTCTTACTCATTGCTGAAGAAACACAAAATGGTACAGTCACTCTGAAAGATAGTTCGGTAGTTTCTTGCAAAATTAAACATACTCTTAACATATGACCCAGCAATGGTACTCCTTGATATTTACCCAAAGGAGCTGAGACTATGTCCATAATAAAATCTGCACATGGATGTTTATAGAAGCCTTATTCATAATTGCCAAAATTTCAAAACAACAAGATGTATTTTAGTAAGTGAATGGATAACCTGTGGCATATCAATATATGGTATGTGTAGACAATGGAAAATTGTTCAGTGCTACAAAGACATGAGCTATCAAGCCATAAAAAGACTGCGAGAAACCTGAAATGCATATTACTAAGTGAAAACTGCCAATCTGAAAAAGGCTACATACTGTGTCTCAGTCTGTTCAGGCTCCTGCAACGAAATCCCATAAACTGGGGAGCTTACATATGGAAGATACCCCATATATAAAATGGGGTATCTGTGCGTGTTTTATAGAGACAGGGTCTCACTCTGTCACCCAGGCTGCAGTGCAGTGGCATGCATGATCATAGCTCACTACCTCCTTGAATTCCTGGACTCATGCAATCCACCTGCCTTAGCCTCCCAAGTAGCGGGGACTATAGGTACACATGCCTGGCTTAGGTAGCTTATAAACAATAGAAATTTATTTCTCACAAAATTTCCCACAGTTCTGGAGACTGGGAAGTCCAAGATCAGTATTAGCAGATTTGGTATCTGCTGAAGGCCCACTTACTGGTTCACAGATGGCTGTCTTCTTACTGTGTCCTCACATGGTAGAAGGTACTAACTAGCTCTATGGGTTGTCTTTTAGAAGGGCACTAATCCCATTCCTAAGGACTACACTCTCCTGACCTAATCACCTCCCAAAGGCCTACCTCTTAATACCATCACCTTAGCGGTTATGATTTCCACATGAATTTTGAGAGGCACAAACATTCAGACCACAGAAGTATGATTCCAGCTATATAACACTCTAGAAAGGCAAAACTATGAAGACAGTAAAAAGATCAGTGGTTGCCAAAAGCAGAGTATAGAAGGAATAAATAGGTAGGGGACAGAGGATAGTAATGCCCTAAAAATCCTCTGTATAGTATCATAATAATGGATAAATATAATTAAACATTTGTTTAAACCCACAGAATGTACACCACCAGGAATGAACCCAAATGTACCCTATGAACTTGGGGGACTGTGTGTGAATGCAGGCTCATCAATTATAATACCTGTACCACTCTGGTGAGTGATGCCAATAATGGAGGTGGCTATGCGTGTACTGGGGTAGGGGGTTTATGGAAATGTCTGTACCTTCCTCTCAATTTTCCTGTGAACCTAAAAACTGTTCTAAAAAAAGTCTTTTTTTAAAAAAGCAATCTGCAGTTCTATATATGCTATACACACATGAATATATATATACACACACACACATATATTAAAAAATGAAAATCTACATATGTAGTTGAAATCTTATGGGCACACATATACATATACAAATTGATTCTGAAAGGATAAGCATCTGTTTATTCTTATGACCTAAGGCATGGGGCCAAAAGGGAATGAGAACGGTTTTTACTTTTTACTTTTCTACTGTCTGAATTATTTATAATGAGGTTTTATTTTGTAATTAGAAAAAGTAAAATATTTAAAGCACTGTAACAGAAGGTACCATGTGAATGAAAGACAAATTGAGATAAAATCGAGGGAAGTTTAAGAAAAAAAGAGGTTAAAAACTGGCCAAAGTTAAAAAGGAATTCATCATGTGTAAAGATGAGAAGGAAAGGAGAGAATTCTAAATAACCGTAAACAAAACAAACACAGCCAGGAGTTTGAGACCAGCCCAGGTAAATGGTGAAACCTTGTCTCAAAATAAAATAATAAAACAAGTTAGCTGGGCATGGTGGCACACGCCTGTAGTCCTAGCTACTCAGGAGGCTGAGGTGGGAGGATTACTTGAGCCCAGGAGTCTGAGCCACAGAGTCCCCACCTTTAAAACAAACAAAACTACACACAGAAGCAAACAGAAGAAAGCATGGAAGAAAGCACATATAGTATGTGCAGAGATTGCATATAGTCTAGTTTTACTGCAGGACCTAGAGAGATTGAGAGAGAGGTAGATGACGCTGAGAAAGATGGAACTGAGAACCTATTCCAATTGTCCAGAAGATAACAGCCTGAAGTAAAATTCTTCCTTCTAAATTGCATGTGCCATTTAGAATTTTATATGGAAGAGAGAGGAAAAAAAGCAAAGCCTGTCTTGTCTTCCAGGCTGAAGGAGCCCAGGGAATTCTACCACAAAATATGGCTGCCTGGTATAAGTATTTTGAATTAAAGCACCATCAGAGATCAACAGATGCTAGAAGAGACTTTTCCCCTATCTACAAAAAGACCAGACAGATTCCCCAAGGAGAATAATTGTTTTCCCGTCTCCTCCTCAGGGAGACGGGAAAACAATTTTATTATCTGCTGCAGAAAAGAAGACTGGAAGACTGAAGAATATAACCACACCCAAATGACACCTTAACAAGATAAAGTCTGTCTCTTAGGCTCATTCAGTTTTCAAAGAGAATACAAGTTCATCTCTGTCCTTCCAACCCCCCATCCATTCCTTCGCCCTAGTGATCAGTTATTGCCGCTCAACAGAATTACCTCTATTCCCCATCTTTCCTTCCCCTCTGAAAACAGCTATGTAAGTATGTGGGCCCCACTGGGATATTTAAGTAATCATTGCGATTCTCAGCTGTGCACATTAATAAATTTGTATGCCATTTCTCTTAGTAATCTGTTTCTGTCAGCTGATTTTCAGCAAACTGGCAGAGGTGGAAGGGGACATTTTCCCTTGATTCCCACAAGGCTCTTCCAAACTCCTTGGGACTTGCAACAATAAGATAAGTCAAATTAACATAAAAGCTCTGCAGCCCCAATGACACAAAAACACTTAAGGTAAAATACTTGCGGATAAAAAGCCATGCTCTGTTTTCACTTATATGTAGGAGCCAAAAAAATTGGATATCGTGGAGATAGAGAGTAGAATGATAGTTACCAGAGGCTAGGAACAGTGTGTGTGAGGGAGAGTTGGGGGCTGGAAAGGAGGGGATAAGAGAGGATGGTTAATAGGTACAAACATACACTTAGAAGTAATGAATTATAGGCCGCGCACGGTGGCTCACGCCTGTAATCCCAGTACTTTGGGAGGCCGAGGCGGGCAGATCATGACGTCAGGAGATCGAGACCATCCGGGCTAACATGGTCATACCCC